GATGACAGAGCTGTGCTTGTGCCTGCTATGGGACAAATGCTCTGGACAAGAGGTGGTAAACAGAGCCTTGGCTTGGCTTATTTCACGCATGCTCCACCCTCCTACAATGAAAAGGATATAACACTATTTTCTCCTTCACAACAAACATGAAATTTGTGTCGCATCACAAACTCTTTGAAGGAATGCTTCTTTGACCATTCCGTTTCCTACCCCGAGCTTTTACCAGCTTTCTTCCTCTTCCGTTGGTGTGAAAACTACCCAGTCTTCTTCCTTCCAGATCCCAAATTTCACAGTAATTTTCTGTTATTTGAAAAACTACAGTTATCAACATTTGAGGAAAAAAAATATGCCAACATCTACATCCAAATTCTCTAGGTTTGACTGGAAATCTTGAAATGCCAATACTTAGGCTGCCCTTTGCTAATCAACTCACTGACTGCTGTTCTTTGTTAGTCAACTCATTGACTGTTGTTCTTTGTTAGTCATCTCACTGACTGCTCCAAAACGAAGGACTATTTGAAAATTCAGGAAAAGGCAAGTTCAGGGAAGATTATTCAGGACAGAAAGAGGAGCAGAAGATTTCAACTTGAATCCTCTTTCCCATCCCTCAGTTTTTCTCTGAAGAATTGATTCTCCCTCTCCCACCCCAATCTCATCCTTTTTCTGATCTCTTTTCCCAAACACTAGACCTAAGAAGTTAACGGCTTCCCTGTAGATTACAAGGATGAGTTATAGGGAAGCTCTATATTTTGTGCAGATCTGGTCCATAATGTTTCTTCTTTATCTGTATTAATGGTGCATTTTCAAGAGCATGGAAAGTTTTTGTCCCCAGAGTTAGTACCAGCAAGCCACCAAGCAAGTGGCAGGGTGAAACCCCATCGTTCTCAAGTCCTTACTACATTTGATTCTCAGCCTGCTAACCACAAATCATCCAGCAGACAAGGAATTAATAATAAATCTAAGAAATGCGATAATCTGAAAAGTACTCTCAGGAGACTCATACTGCTTTAAGAATGATAGATTGCTTCCAAAGTCAAGATGGAAATGAATCAATTCATTTGTACGAACACCTTCATTAGTGAGAAACCGATCCTGTAATGTTGGATTTTCTCCAAATCACGTATGTTCTGCACACCATTTAATGCTTAATGCATGATTATTGACAGTATAGTACCATAGTACTCAAATTTACAGTGATGCAGTCATTAAACTGATCCTTGGCCCTCTTAGGGCAAAAGTATGCAAGGAAACACTGCTGTGAAATGTCAGTAAAACCAGATACCACATGTCTCTGAAGAATAACTCTCAAAGTTCTAACAGTCATAGAATCATAGAATAGTTAGGATTGGAAAGGACCTTAAGATCATCCAGTTCCAACCCTCCTGCCACAGGCAGGGACACCTCACACTAAACCGTATCACCCAAGGCTTCATCCAACCTGGGCTTGAACGCTGCCAGGTGTGGAGCATTTATCACTTCTTTGGGTAACCTCTGCCAGTGCCTCACCACCCTCACAGTAAAGAACTTCTTCCTTATATCCAGCCTGAACTTCCCCTGTTTTAGTTTGAACCCATTACCCCTTGTCCTACTGTTAGTCTTCCACTCCTTTCCAGATTATATTGTAAAGCTCATGGTTTTGCTTGTGCAAACTTGATCTCACTTCAGAGTCACCAGAAGCAGATTTGTCAGCTGGGTTAGAGCTGGGGCATGCTGCTAACCAAATTAATGATTCCACTCACCTGTGAGTTAAACAGCTCAGAAAACTGTAGTAAATAATAATGTGATTTTATCACTTTTTACATTGAAGCTATATAATCAGATCCAGATTCTTGTGGTGAGAAATAGATCTCAAATTTCAATCCCCCTGCTCCATTCAAGTGAGATTATACTGCCAATGATCCTTATTAACCCACGTATTGAATTTCTGTCACATCAAACCAAAGAGTAATTCCATTTTTCATATTTTTACTTGCTGACAATAGGGCTGGCTGAATTTTCTTAAATCTTTAAATAATCGTTTATTCTGAATGCTCTTTTTGTTGCTCTTGGGATTGTAAGGAGTTAATAAGAATCATTTGTGCTGTTGACATAAGTGGTGTATTGAATTCTAGAAAGCAGCTGCTGCAAATTAAGTGAGAGCTAATGGCTAGAATGATTAAAATATGAGGTGGTTGATATAACTTCATATAATAATAGTGGGAATCATTAGTAACTGCTTTCTCTAAACAACATTGGTATTTCAGAATATACAGTACCAATTTGGAACGGAAAAGGACTCAAAAGAAAAAGCTTTCTGTTCCTAATTGTGAATTGATATTACTATTCATAAGTATTGTTTCAAACATGCAAAAGAGGATTTTTTACTCGCTTAATTTGCTTGCAAAAATCAAAATGTTGTTTTGGGTTGGGGTTTTTTGTGCTTGTTTGTTCGCTTGTTTATAGTTTTGAAGGTGTAGGGGGGAATGGGTGGGGGTTTTCATCTCATTCTGTATATATATTTTCAACTACAAGCCTGGTTGGGCTCTTTCCGTATAGGTACTTATCAAGCTGCCATGCTTCAAGCTGCATACTGGGTCTCTATATTTATATATTTCTTTGATCTGTGTATTTCCTTTTCCATATAACCTTTTCTGGCCTGGAAACCTACTGTACAGGCTGATGCTTTACCCTCTAAGACAGTATCTTTCAGGTGCTTTAAGCCCCAGTCTACACTGAATATTGAAATTCCTCAGTGTGGAGTGAAGGGCAGAATGATTTATTTAAGCCACCGGGGAAAAGTATTTGTTTTAACATGGTATTCATTGGCATTGCAAGACAACTTTAAATACATCTATAAAGTCATAAAGTCTTGCAGAAATGGTAACATTTGAATGCAAAGGATTCCTTATGGAGCTATAATTTAATCTTACTTTTTTAGACATCCTCTATTCATTAGTCCATCAACTTTTTCTTTACTGATCAGGACAACAAAGCGCTCTAATTTGCCCACACCTTCTCTTAGATAAGCATTAAGCTAAAAAAGTAGGCATTTGCAGAGCAGTGCAATGCTCCTTTGTAGTATTTTGCTGAAAAACCCCTACTTTCAGAAGTGTTGATGTACCTTCAAGAGCCTCGGTATTGCCTCCAGATGCAATGCTGGCGCTCCAGCTATGCTCTGATGACCTTCCCAGATGAAGATTTGCTCTTCATCTGGGAGCCCCTGTTTGAAAGGTCTCTGAAGATCAGTTTAGTAAAGAGAGACAAGCAAAGCTGCCTAAGCAGAAAACTGTGGGAAATTGTTTAATCCAGCCTGTGCAAACCACCAGACACAGGGGAGGGGAAGATGGATTTAACCTCTGAGCCTGGCAATCCAGCAGATGAATAAAGGCACTCATATAACTGAAAAGGCAGATTAAGTATGTAAACATGCAGCTATAAAGTACCTTTGTGTCCACTGCCTAAAAGTTTTTCACAGGCTTTCTAAAATCCTATTCTTGGCATTTTTGCTAGTAATTGTATTCATTTCATGTAGTTATGAGCAGAAATGTTATACCAAAAAATGTCGAGTCAATACAGCCCCTCTGATATTTATGAAAGGCTTTAAAATGTCATTTTTCTGCCTAATGAGCAAGGAGCAGATAATGAGCATGAGAGCACTGCTGAAAGTTTTCTATGAAGCCATAATTCAAATCTCCATGAAAATAAATATGAGTCACTTGTCAGGTGAAGAGGACAGAGAAGCCACCACAACAACTGAGTGACACATTGTCCTGCAAATCTGAATATGGAATTGGTGGGTTTCTAAGTCTCAGCTAGGTATAAACTGACTATGCAGGCTGTAAAATTGTGGTTATACCAGTGCAAGATGGCAGAGAATGGTTATTTGGTGACTTACTGTTCCAGGCACAAAACTGCATTCACCGGGATGGCTTCATTGAACATAAATTTTGCTGCTAAAGAATCATATTAGAGTGTTACCATGAAATACAAAAGTAATCTCAAGCTAAATGACCTTCAAAAAGAAATTAAAACAAGCACAATAGACTAAAGGTATAAATGCCAGTTAAATTTGGAAAATTAAGGAAATACCAGAATAAAGACCTAAAACTACTATATTAAACACCTGAAGCCACACAGCATTAATAGCTGCTCATTAAGGGCTGGAAAGGACTGAAAAAATTGCTTGCCACTATGATAGCACAAAGAAGCACAGGCAAAAGTGATACTAAAATTACCCATAAAATCAACTGCAAAAATCACTGTCCCTCTCTCAATGTATGCAACCGCTCCAGTAAGAAAGGAAAAAGACATTTGAAAAATTGCATACTCTTAATGAATATGAAATAGGGCTTCTTTGGGTTCCTGCTGGATAGTTTGTAGGTGGGCACAGAGCTCTTTCTCCTGCGGTGTTTCTGTAATGCTGTAGCAGTGTATTGCAGCAGGAGGTGATGCTACCACGATTTGTACAACTTGTATGTGAGTTTACACTTCATCCCTGAGGCTTGTGGTTACAACCTGACTAAATTTATACAGAAAATGATCGAAAAAATAAATGGTAAAGAGGCACTCTGCCTCCAAACTCATGCATTTTCAGACCAATAAAAAACACATCATATGCCAATTTTTAAAGGTTAATCATAGAATCATAGAATGGTTTGGGTTGGAAGAGGCAGTAAAGCTCATCCAGTTCCAACCTTCTACCATGGACAGGGACACCTTCCACTAAACCAGGTCGCCAAAGCCCATCAAATCTGGCCTTGACCACTCTAGGGGATGCCACTTTTACTCTATTTCAAGCTAACGCATCTCTGTTCTGGTGCTTTTCGCAAAGGTCAGCCACCTACCACACCGTGATAAAAGAGTGAATCTGACTATAAAACTTTGTCACTAACTGCCGAAGTCCACACTTTGGAAGGTGTCCCAGATTCACTGAAAATAATGAGCTGAAGACAGAGGAAAAAAACACAACTATACACGGGTAAAAGAAAAGAAAGTAGTTGGTGACAGAAAATGAAAGTATGTGAGAGGCTTAAGATATCTATTTAATTTCTTCACCAGCATAGTCAACAACTTCATTTACATTCAATTTTATCAGTGTGTTTTACCCACAGAGGTCAAAATCCTGGTAAAAGCAATACTCAGATACCTTTAACAGTCTTCTGGTGCCAATAGATTAAATTTGGGTTAGAGATTACCAAGATGCTCTACACTTACACCAACGTGTGTAAATGGAAATAGTTTTAGTAGATACAGTTTTATTGGCTTCAACATTCCCAAGCTGATTTACAGATAGCAAGATCTTTGAGAGGTTATCTTCTTGTAACTACTAAAATGGATGAGAAAAACTGAGATACAGGGTGATGAAGATTATCATAATTAAACAGATAAAAATTAATAACTGGATAGCATGGCATGGGTAGTCAAGGAGAAGCCAGCAACTCCCACTGTTTTTTATGATTGTCAGGGCTCTGCATGGGAGCAGATGACTGATGGTTGGTATTATCAAGAAGAGTAGAATGTGTCCTGTTTTAACCTTTTATTTGTTTAACCTTTAAGGTGTAGGTGAGATTGTGCAGCTGAATTTCTTATTACTGGAAGAGATTGTGTTTTTTATTCTTTCCTATCAGGGATGGTCAAAATTCAGCAAATTCTTCATGTAAGCAGCTATTAAAATGGGTCTGTAATTATAAAAGGATCATATCCATCCTCAAATCTTATCTCCTGCTGTTTCTGCAGGGTTGCTCATTTTCCTACAACACTGAAAGGAGAAGAGATTAAAAGCACAAAATTAATAAAAAAAAACTATTCAAATACATGGAAAAGGTAAATAAATAGAAAACATTGGTACCAGATTTAATATATTGTTGTTGGGATCTATTTAAAGGTTAAATAGCTGTACTAGGTATTACAAAGAAATTAAACATTTTTAACTCCCAAGTGCATAACCAGAGCACTAAATAAGGCACACATTTGTTCAGTATTGTTATACTCAGGGCAGGCATACGCATCTTATCTCAATATAAAACATTGATATACCTGAAGTTCCCAGTAAAATTCCTTTGAACTTGAGTGTTTCCCAGTGTAAAGGTGCCGGACTGTCAAAAAATAATTGCAGAGACAAGTACACTTGACAACTATTAGGCCATTTATTTAGCAATGCCTGGGCTAAAATGGAGTAAGGTCACCTGCATGAGTCATAGTTCTGCTGTGCCAAAGTATGTGTAAGCACTAGCCGTGGCCAGTAAAGAGCACCGAGCCTTCAGCATCTGATGTTACTGAGGTCTTCAACCAGAGTTCATCTAATTTAGCCAATAGACATCAAAGAATTTCCCATCAAATCCACTTGTTGCTATCAAATAAAACAAAACAACTTCTCATGGAGACAACCTCATACCTGAGAACAAAGCATAGGGACCTCTAGGTTTGTAAATTAAATCTCAAACCAGTCTGGAACAAGGTAGAAAGAACTCGCCTGTCAGGAATAAGATAGCGGTTTGTACCCTCAATCTGATTATCAGAGTGATTTAAATTTGTCTAGTTAGTTCCTTGTTTGCCTGTGCATGCCAATCACCCCATTAACTGAGTAGCCATGGGAGGGAAGAAGCCACCTCAGAAACTCAGCCTATAATACAAAAAATCATGTATGACCCTGATCTATTGTGGTGATAATAAAATCCACATATGCCAATGAACAAGCCAAATGCTAACAAATTGTCTACTGTCGTTACTCCTTATTCCAAAATCATTTCCCATCACTGCCTGCACATGACATCATTAATCCTTCCCAGCTGCCAAAAAAAGCCCCTTCTCACCAAGTTGCTGTTATATTTCCTATACAAAGACATATGGTGTATAGAATGCTGTAAGGGTGGTAAACAAAATGAAATAAGTAAAATATAATTCCAGATGTTAACGTAATGACTGGATTATTTGCTTACCTCTATTACTTAATTTAAATGATGCTGACTGGGAGCTGGAATCCCATAATTTCAGTTATAGAAAATTACATCTGCACTCTTTATTTTATTTGAGCCCTTGCTGCCAAATACATTGCTCTTGTTTAAGAGCATCTGCAGAAAAAACATGGGCTGGAATTGTCTAAGAAATTTAAGAACAAAACTATCTATGATTATATTATTCATTCTGTAATCTTTTTCCTTTTATGTGTTTACAAGATCCATTGACGAGAAAAAAAAGATTTAATAGAGATGGCACATGGTATTTTTACAGTAAGCTTTTTACTTGCATTGTATTTTTCCTCTGTTTTTAATGACACTTTGAATGTGTTTTCCAAGAATCAGATCAAATAGGAAACTATAATAGCAATTAAAATGCTTTAAACAATTTTATTTGGAAATGTATGCCACAGTCTTTCTACCAAGCATATGAAGAGATGTTTACTTAGCCCTAGAATTTTGACTGGCTAAAATCGTGCATCTGGCCTTTCATTTGGTATAATAAAGGTCATAACTTTGAAGTTAATGGAGCAAAATTGATTTTCACCAGCTGATACTTTGTGTTTATTTAGTTCTTTCCCAGATCTGAACTGCATATTTCCTGAACCTTGATTCTGTCCTGCTGTATAATTTTGTTACTCAAAAGCCAATAATAAAGCCCAAATCCTGCTCCCATAGAGTTGTAAGGCCAGAAAAGCAGGAGCAGCTGGAGTGGCAAGATGAGCAGAGCACGCAGAGGAATAGAAAATCCTCTCCATCTCAGGGAAGTCAGTGACACAAAGTGTGCATGAGCACAGAAGAACTGAGGCAGGCCAAAAATCAAGGCAAAATATATCAGTGGATTTTTGAACTCTGCACATACCCATGACCAAGCCTGTCCTCTCATACACTATATGACCAGCTGTATTGACAAGAAAGGCTTTGTTTCAAGTCCCTTTCCCAGGTTAGAGAAGGGGTGCCATGCCACATTGCTGAAGTGGTCCTCATCCCATGCCCTTTTTTTTTTACTTTTAATTAAGTGAGTAAAAACTCAGCCTTAAAATCCAGATAAGAAAAAAAAACATTTGTGGCCTTAAACTCTGGAACCACAAAACATCCTTAAATATAAACAACCCAAGCAGGAAATCTAAACTGGGTTATTTGCATCAGTTTTTTTCTCCCAAGTATTATGGTGCTTGCCAAAAGGTGGAAATTCAGGGAAAAGGGAATTGAAATTTTGACACAAATTTTAATGATATTCAATAGAAGTTGTCTCCTTTTCTCTCACATGAGAACAAAACGTAAAGAGTGTAAAATCCTTTCTGAAAGGCAAAAATATACCAATTTTATACTTTAGAAACAACGTTTTACAGTTTTTCATTCAAAACAACACTTCTTTATAAGTCTCTCTTTTCTATTTTAAAGAAAACAGATTTACAAAGGATTAAATAACCCAATAAGCAAAAAAAAAAAATCATTCCAGGTTAACTCAAAACATCTTTCTACATTCGTCCTGCCTCTCTCCCCAGCCCAGGGCTTATTTTGGTTCAACTTGAATTTTGTTTCTTATTTTTTTCCAACTGAACTCCCCCATTATTCATCCAGCTCCACTAACAGAAAAGCCTCGTGCAGAGAAATATGTATGAAAGAGGAGCTATGTAACTCTCACTACGACTAGAGCCAGGCTGATAGAAGCAGAGCTCATGGATGCTGTGGTTCTGCCTGGGCTGAGGTCTATCGCTGCTGCCGCCACTGCCGAGCCCTTTGCCTGAGCCGCCGGATGGACAGGCTGACCGGCTGCTTCCCAAACTTCTTCATGATCTCCTTGATTCTTGCCAGGTTGGTTTTGGAGATGGTGAAATCGCACTGGGTAGCTCCCATGTCGTAGCCGACTTCGCAGGTCTTGGTGGCGGTGGTGTAGCCCTCAGCCTTCACGGCCACCACGTATTCCCCTGGGTTGAGAAGGCGCCAGTAGTCCCCATCGGCTCCTGGTAGGAAAAGAGATGGCTTTCAGGACAGCATTGAGGAAGGTGCTGTTTATGGGAATACAGAAATACCTGCGTATTGACGACACCACAAGCAACAACCCTGCATCCTCTCACCAGGAGGGTGTCAGTGATGCTGTCCCCCATCACACATAGCGTTCTTCGTCCTGCCAACTGTACAGGAAAACCCACCTCAAAAGTTTTCCAAATGATGAAAAATGACAATGGACTTCGATTTTTCTTAAGACTTTTGTCAGATGAAGTCAAAAACATCTTGAGGCAAAGGGTCACCTTGCTGGTGATTCCCAAGGGGGTAAAAAAGATCTTTCCCACACTAATTCTGCTGAAGGAATCAGTGAGGTACCCATATCACTCTCATGAACCTGGCCCGACCGCCTTGACACACATGTTTTGATACTATTTAGTATGCAAAGCATATGAATGCATAATATCAACTCAGAGATCTGAGCATCCTCCTCTATAAAATCTTACACTGAGTTTTACTACACTGATTTTCCTACAGAGCATAATTCATCAAGGTACTTAATCACTTGCTTACCTGTAAGCCCATGAACAGCAATAACCCTAATCAACTAAAGTAGTCAGGGACAAAGCAAGATATATCTTAACACGTCATTGAATCAGGACTTTGATTACTCCTTTCTTCCTTATAAATGGTCTCAAATTACCCATACATACATAAGAATGGCTTTAGACCTCTTTTTAAGTATTATTTTAAATAGCAAATATGATTAGCTGTGGACTGAAAAAGGTGAAACACTAATATCTAAAGTCAGTTTTGTACTCTCTCTTGGGAAAACCAACTGTGAAAGAAAGTGCATATTCAAATGTGCAATTCTATATATAAACAAAAATGCACCATCTCTTGATGAGGAGGAGATATTTTAGTACTAATGCGAACTGGCAGCTTTGGGTTTCTTGCAATGCAGTGTGTTGCAAAAACCTAACTATGGTTTACATAAAGATATTATATTTAGGAAAAGAGCAGACTAACCTCTATGCAAAAAAAAATGGATTTTAAGTGAAGGGTTGGTAAAATAAAAATCATGTTTGCAACCTGCAAGTGTTAATAAAAGAGCATTACCAACTATATCCCGATATTGCAGTCTCTGAACACAAGCATAGCAGCTTGCTTAGGTTTTTCTTTCAGCCCATTTGACCCCACTTGGGGTGATGACGAAGATCCAGATTTTCTACTTCTCAGGGCTCAAGCATTTTTAAGAGGAGCTCTCTAAAAAGCTTTCTATTCAGCTCTCTCTTAACTATTGGGTCCACTGGCACCTTAACCAAAGGACAAAACATAAAGCTGTCCAGGTTTATTGAATTTATCCCAAAGGACTCATCCATAGCTGTAAATGCTCTGGCGATACTACAGGGCTGGCAAAAGGCTACGGATCACCCAGTGTGTGGCCGTGAATGCATCCCTGCTCAGAGGCCGGCTTTGGCCCCTGGTGTTCAAAACTGACCCACATTTTCTGACACATTTAACAAGCGCTTCACCACAGCCCCACACAAGGCCAGAAAAAAAGCAACACATTCACATATCACTGATAAATTACTACAAAGCTGAATATTAAGCTGTTAGCAGGATGCCTTTTACCTCCTTTCCATTTACAAGTAAGCAGCCATTAGCATTTCTGGCAGCTGTCATTGCCCAGAATTTAATACCAGGCTTAAAGGTCTTTTTTTTTTAAAATCAGATTAAATGCAGTAAATAAAAAATTTCAGAGCAGATGGCAAGAGAAAAACAATTAAAAATACAGATAAATGTAGTAAATAATAGGTTTGCTAAAAGAATAGGCTCCAGTGGGAGCAGGTTGGAGGTAGACTACATCTATCTCCATCTATTGGGTCAGGAAAAGAATTGCCATGTCTGCTTGGATAAAATAAAAATGCATAAAAATATGATTATAATATTATTATAACTCAAATATGCCAGGTGAGTCCATAAACCTGTCAATTAAGAGGAACACTCCGAGTGTGGAAGGACAGACCTTTGTTACAGTTGTCATGTTTACACTTAGATGTACCCAATTTCACTAATGTAAATACCTTATAAAAATCTATCCTAATGCTCTGTTACCTGCAAAAGACTCTCCAAGAAACCTAGCCATAGTACTGCACACCCAATGCATGTAACATCTAAACCTTAACTTTACTGAACAGGCAGCCATGAATGAGGATGGAGTTATGAGAATTATGCTTGTCTTAGGGTAATGTTATTAAATATTACTAAACACTTATTCAAAATCTTTGGGTTTTGTTAGATAATATAAACAGGGGAAGTTTAGACTGGATATAAGGATGAAATTCTTTCCTGTTAGGGTGGTGAGGCACTGGAATGGGCTGCCCAGGGAGGTTGTGAATGCTCCATCCCTGTGTTCATGGCAGTGTTCAAGACCAGGTTGGACAAGGCCTTGGGTGCCATGGTTTAGTGTGAGGGGTCCCTGCCCATGGCAGGGGGGTTGGAACTAGATGATCTTAAGGTCCTTTCCAACCCTAACTATTCTATGATTCTATGAAATAATACGAAACATCAAAATATTGATAAAAATTTATCTGCACACTATGTGAAATTATATTAAATATGCTTTATTATTATAAATTGTGGAAAAAATATATTTTAAGAATATATATAATAAAACTATATGTATTATGTAATTACGCAAAGAAAAGATCACACAGAAATGTGCATCTGTATTTGAACTCTGTTCACCAGAAAGAAACTATATATTTCTTCATCAAGATTTGCTGTGAGATTCCCAAAATGCAATTACAGGAAGCAGCACACAAAACTGCCTTTGCACCATGAGGAAAGAGGTGTTCAGGTGCATTTGTTCATCTGACTGATGAATTCTTTTCCAAAGGTTATCTTACAAAGCACAGTTCACATCTAATCGCAACAACATGTAATCACCCAAACTTAACCAATAGTTACATCTGCATCAACAGAAAATGCAATAATTTTCCACAAAGCTCTTACTTCAGAATCAAAATCACTTAGGCTATTAATACTGTCAGCTTAGTGTCAGCAACCCTCTCTTCCCATATAATGTATCATACATCCAAGAAAAAGTAAAAATAAAGAGTGCTTTCCATGCAGTTTTTGTCCATGGGATGAAGCAGAGAAATTTTCTCAAACAAGTAAATGTTCTTAGAGGACCTTTACAGATAACTCTTGTCTGGCTCTACAGGGTAGTCGACCATGTTAATGTATCAAAGAAACAGTAGATAGCAGCTTAGCTCACTTTAAAAAAACCTTACATGAATAGAAATAGCAGCCATAATTTTTCTCCTGCTTGGCCTATTTTTACATCAAGGCAACACAGAGGTTCAAATGGATACATTTTTCAATTTAAAAGGTATAAATGAAAGCAGACCGCTGACAATTCGCCTTCTTTCACTGGAGTTATACATGTCATTTTAGCTTTTTGCCTCCAACATAAATTCTCTAGTTTCAAAGACTAATGAGACATAGAAGTTTCGAAGACTAATGAGACATACATTGTTATCTGTGTAATATAAAACAAAATAGACCTTTTATGTTCCCATCTACAAAGTGATTTGCAAACAGTGTCAGCTTAAATGTCTCATTAAAAAGAAAAATTAAAAAGAATAAGTACTTCTATTTTTACTAACAAGCACAGATGGCTTTGAGCCATAGGAGCTCAGCTCAAAGTCTAGATGTAAATAGCTGCAAGATTTTGCCAGTGTTATGAGGTGGATTTGGGGATCTTGCACATTTATTACACATGTCATTGGGTCTCCTTTCTGTATGCATGTTTGCTGTCTTGAAACTGTTGGTTTTTCTTCCATGCGGCAATCCAACGTACTGAAAGCTGGAGGTTAATCCCCTCTTGCATTTACTCAGCCTCAACCAGAGGCATATATTAATTTTGTTAACAGGGTAATACAAACTACAATTTATGGCAGTCTTTCAAGACCGCCAAGACTTCCACAATGAGGAAAAACAACTGATTACTTTAATTCCTGCTAATATTTCCCAGTGGTCCCATTTGGAAATATTTAAGGCAGAATCATAATTGCCTAATTAACTATCTGTCATTCAGTGTTTTCTCTTACAGCAGAGACAGATTAGCACTGAGATAAAGTTAATCATAAACTAAGTTAGATATTCCAAGTTTTATTATTGGCTCAGATAATTTACTGTAGCAAACATTAAAGATTTGGAAGTCTCTTATCTAAAGCTCTATGATAGTCCATAACCTGAAATCAATAATTTACCTGTCAAAGCGTCATGTACTGTACTTCAGTGGCAAAGCACATGGAAGTGGCAGCAAATGAAAGGCCCAGTATGCCAGTCAGATATATAAATGATATAAAACTAGTGTTCCTCTTTCTAACATTGAGTCAAACCTGGACTATCCAACAAGATTTCTCTGATTAGTTACCATGATGTTATTCTTCCATAAAAGTCCACAGAAAGTTGTTAACCTGTTGCAACCAGCACTTTGAGTGCCATCACTAAAGACTCCTGCTGACATCTTTCACTATTTTTCTTCATTCTTCCTTCTTTGCTGTACCTCTGATGACTGGGTGTATTAAATCACAGTACGCAGACAAAATGAGTACTGGGCTCTGTCCCAGCCACCGCCTCTCAATAGCAATTTTCAGGTATTACTATTAATCTTGTAATTGGCTAGTGTCTATTTAAAGCAGCTCTCTATTTAGTGCCATATCTACTTTCCAAGCTATTAAATAGGCTTAGAGTTTGCTCTGAGTATACATACCTGTGTCTGGGTGTAGATCAAAACTGTGCTAACATGACAAATAGCATTTTTTTAAACTATGCACACTTTGGGCCGAAATTCACCTGCGCAAAGCAGTGTTTCTGCTGAGCCCCATTAAACGACCTTTTATACAGCTGTGATGTTTTACAGGGTACTTTAGGTTGTGAAACTCCTCTTTCCCTGCAATAGCTCTTTCTCCTCTGGACACAGCTCTAAATCACGTCTCCAATACATTCAGAGTCCTATAACTGCTAACAGCTAGAGGAATGCTTTTCACTCAGCAAGGCCTTATATACACTCTTGGTTTTCAGGGCTACAATTACTCTGATTTGCACTACCTTTACATGAGAAAAGGAGCAATAAGAGTGATATGGACTCAGCCTTTCTCGGGCTATTGATTTTTGGCAGATAAAAGGCTATTTTCTCAATACTTTAAGAGGTGGAAAGAGGAAGAGGGCTAGAGAAGAAAGCCACAGTTTGGTTCTTGTCTATGCAGCTGCTTCATGGGAAGAAATGGCTCTGCCCTTATGCAAACTCTGTCCTATTGCCACTCCTTCTGCAACGTTCTCCTTGGACCAAATATTATCTGCTGGCTTTTCTCAGAAAAGAGTTCAAAGTTCAATGAGGTTCTGCATTTTGTTTAAAAACCATAAATCTGTTCATTTGCACTGATGTTTTGAGTTTTTTTTTTACCTGTGCGAATGTCATGGTTAACGCCTTCTACTGAAATAACAGCATTTGGGATTCCCTTTCCATGCGCATCTTTTACTATGCCTTTGATGCCCCGATGAACCTAGTGAAAGAACAGACAAGAAATATTGCACAGCAACAATCACTGCTATTGTTAAAAAGAGTTGGGACATATAATTCCATATGTCAATTACATATATTATGGTTTATACAGTTTTGAAGTATCCTTACTAACCCAGAATATAACCCTTTCAGGCATTAGCTACTTGTGAATCAGCTTACAAATTCTGGTAGGATTCCCAAGATATCAAATTCAAGAGGTAGATAAAACAAGCAGATAAAGCAGCAGACATAAGGGTTTTTCTGGAAGTCCTTTGTAGCAAGCTTTTCACTCACATCAAGTTTTAACAAGCTTCATTGTCTTATTCTCCTAGGTCAAAACAGCCTGGCTGAAGTGATACACTAATACTGCTTGTAGGTAAGGTTTCCAACACAAACATCAATAATCATGCAATTAGCTGTGTAAGAAAAATATCAGAAACCTCAAACTCCCTTTCATTCTGAAAGGAGTCATCAAATTACTCAGAAGTTACTCGTCTGTCAAATACCTGTTCCATAAAAACAATCAGGGACTCGCGGTTGTTTTCCCATTCTTCAGGCAGCTCGCTCTCATGGGGATACTTGTCACAGCCAACGTAGATGGACAGCTCAAAGCAGTTTGTGTGCAGATAACTGAAGTCATTTATGCCTGTCAGTGGGGGGTATAAACCAAATTATTTTATATCTTCTTTTAATCTATTGATCAGACCCGATTTCTTTATGCAAAGTAATCTAACTTATTTAAACACAAACATAGCTGACTTAGACTGCATACATGATGTCAGGGCAAAAGATTTTTAGAAATGCTACATCTCCTGTATCAAAGCATCAGAATAACATCAGAGCTATATATGTGAAAAAAAAGAAGACTTTCTAAAGACAGTATCCCATCAATACACTCAAACCAGAATATATTACACCATGACAACATGGGGCACTGTGTCACCCCAGCACCACATCCCCAATTCCTTTGCCACAAAGAATGGCGTCCTTCTGCCATCACAAAACTTAAAGGAAATAGAAATTTAGCAGAAAACAAATGAACAAACAAATTAAAGTCATTCCAGACAAAGTTTCTATGATATTCTTCACTATGATGGTGATGAGACATTGGAATAGACTGCCCAGAGAAGCTGTGGCTGCCCCATCCATGGCAGAGTTCAAGGCCAGGTTGTATGGGGCTTGGAGCAATCTGTTCTAGTTGAAGGTGTCCCTGCCTGTGGTAGGGGGTTGAAACCAGATGAGCTTTAGGGTCCGTTCCAACACAAACCATTCAGTGATTCTATTGATGAACTTGTGAGTACAAATGCCATCGCTCTGAACATCCCCCTCCCTTCCTCTTTCTTCCCCCAGCTTTATGTGCTGAGCTATGCATATCCTATATGGTGTGAGATATCCCTTAGGTCAGTTGGAGTCAGCTGTCCTGACTGTATCCCCCAACTCCTTGAGCACACCCAGCCTCCTCACTGGTGGGGTGAAGAACAGAGAAGTCCTTGACTCTCTGCAAGCACTGCTCAGCAATAACTCCTTGTGATCAACACTTTTTAGAGCGCAATTCCAAACCATAGCCTCATACCAGCTACTGTGAAGAAACTTCACGGCAGCCCAGCCAAAACCAGCACACCATATTATGGCTTTGTAGAGGACTGGAGTTGCACTATTGTGCTGCAACAGGGATTTCCATGAGAAGTATGTCCTAATCAAAACCCAGGAATCGCAATGCCTCTGACCTCTGAGGAGCTGCAGTTTAAGTCTACGTTACAGAAAGCACTGTGACCTTTGCAAAGGTCCTGGGCACTTAAGGTACTCTGCCTTTAGACACAGATCTCAAACATTTCCATTCTCAGGTTTCTCTCCCATTTCTCACAATTATTTTTCCCTTGGGAAATTCCATTTATTAGTTCTCCACAATCACACAGATAATGTAAGTATATGAACACCAGAGGAATAAATGATGTGAGATTCATTTCCTATTCCACCTGCATTTCTAATAAAAATATATTTTAAAACGTTTACTTATGATCACAAAATGTATTTTAAATGTCAAAGATTAGCAGCAAATGCATTCACCAAGTGGTTCTGATTGAAAAGCGTTAAAAAAACCCTAGTCCTATCCAGTTACCATAGTGCAGTAGTCAGGTATTTAACGAGCCCTCAGTGCCTTCTGGATAAGGAGCAAGAGGATTGTATAATGCAGATGTTAAGTTGTTCAGTTTTGTGGATGAGGAAAGCCTAAATATCAGACAGTGGCATATGCTACTCTGTATAAACATGCTTCCTCTCTGTTTGAGAAACAGATATGATTATTTTCCCCTCACATAATGTATCACATCCTGATTAATCTGTTGTGAAATGTTTTGCAGTACACAGTAATTGCTCAGTTTAAATACATGTATTTAAGAAAACGGCTTTACATTGCCAAGAGTAACTCTGTGAAGTGTCTGAACACGCAAATACAGCCTTGAAAACACTGGAAATAGAATGAATTTCATCTGTTCTTTGTCTTTGTGCAGAAACGTTAATGTAAAATTGCTAAGAACTCGCATTGATTGATGTCCAAAATACGTGCAGGAAATAGCATGGCTGGGTTTCAAAGTAACACAGAGGTGTTCGTGCAAGATATCTGTGGTGCAAAGACTTCTCTAGGGACTGTCTGGTGCTGAAAAGGAATTAGAAAAATCCCTTATAAGTTTTCCCATGTCATCAGCAATGAAAAGTTTATGTGCATGACCACTGCAAGGCCAGGTAGCAGGTGGATGAGGAGAAGATGGGTGGCTTCAAGCTGTGGCACAGCAAGAAGGTGCCACCCAACCAAAGGGCATTCTACAAGCAGCATAGTGGTGTGCCACCTTTGGCTCAGACATTAAGCAAGCAGAGGCTTAGCAGAAGAAAGTGCTACACGTTGATCTGAAAGGTAAAGAAATAGTAGAAGTGGAGCAATAAAACTACATCTGTATAGTCATGGAATTACAGTGAAAAAAATATAGCTTAAATTTGTCTTCAAATCTGGAATCCTATTTGGGCAACCCATTCCAGTGCCTCAACACCCTTACAGTAAAGAATTTCTTCCTTATATCCAATCTAAATGTCCCTTGTTTAAGTTTTAACCTGTTACCCCTTATCCTATCAGTACACTACATATATATAGACATATATATATGTATGCATATATATGTATATACCTGCAATACAAATCACTCTCCTACATTTGTCTAAGTAGACAAGAAGTCTAAAACTATCTTGCAGGTTGGAGGCTGAGTTCAAATGGAAACCACATCTTTTGAGGTTTAAGTCTGGAATCCAAGGTGTAAAGAACTGAAAGTAAAAGCAACATTCCAGCATTTTTCTCACAGACAATCTTGGAAGTCTTACAGTAACGTAAGAGAGCAGGATGTAAAGTATATTGAGAAACATCATAAATCAATATAACAAATCAGATGAACATAATCCAATATACAGTTGTTAGTAAGAAATCAAGATACTACTGAGCATCTATATTGTACATCATTACTTATTGAAACAGTCTGGCAGCTGTTAGTGACATGGCCAATGTCATCTTTTCTGGATCAATTCACAATCATGTTTCTTATAAAGGGAAATTAAACTTATAAATGAGATAATTGAGCAGTCAAGCTAGCATGCAGAGAGGGTATTTTGGGAATTAGCAGAAAGCTGTAGAAATGCATTGTCAGGCATTGGCATTGTGATCTAAGAGTTCAATCTTTCCCCGCAAATTCACCCAACATGTTTTAACCTCCTGAAGAAATATTTGGGAAGTTAATTCCTGGCTCTAGTCTTTAAAGACTGGCCAGGACTAACTTTACAGGGGCCAACATAAGAGCCATAAAAGCCATATCCAAAATTTAGAGATGTTTATGCAGTGAAATTACCTGCAAGTTACAAACACGAGCCAGTTCCAATAAAACCTGGTCTGCACAGACGCACACTTGCATCTGTTTGCCATTACTGCTGCAGTTATTCTCGTCCAAGTGATGGGAGATGCACATCATTTCTTAATTTCATAGAATATGTCGTCTAACTGATGGGTTTATATAAAACAGAGGTTTTGAGCAGGACTGTGACGAATCAACAAAGTGCCTGATTTTGAGGCTGCTTGGAGTGTTCACCCATACAGATAACTATGCCTACCTATGCTGCTAAAAATGTGCTTCTAATTGGGCTTTCCTAAAAACTGATGCTTTGTCTGCAGTGCAGGAGACAGCTCTTCCTTCATGCTCCTTAACAGGGTGACAGGCTTGGGCATATGGTGAATAATTCAGCCTGTACTTTATTCTGGCAGAAGCAATGCCAGAAGCAATGGAGCCCATGCAAAGTTTAAGTGTAAGGGCGTCCACATTGTGTAAAAATTGGAAAGCAGCTTTTTGTGGCATGTTTTTACAATTTGGGTTGAATCTGTGGCTGAGTTCAGCAAGCAGGAGGCTGAAATCATCATTTTCTCATCTGAGGACCACTGGAATGTCTCAGTGGAGTCAATGCTATTGCTCTGACACTGGTTACACCTTTCATGTCCAGCAGCAGTTTTCTGTTGGCATCTCCCAAGATGGCAAATGCTGACAGGTTTCCCCCACTGGTGGGTTTGGGGTGGGTTGGTTTTCTCCTAGCAAACCCCCTTGAATGTACAAAATCTGTAAAACTAATGTATTGCACGTGCTCGTTTGGAAACCTCAGCTGTAAATGAAATTGGTTCCCAGGTATCAGTGACACAGTTTCCTTCAATACTGATACTTGATGAAATAAAGTAAACAGACTTTCAGGTAGGGCAATATTCCTCTTAGGACAAATTTTACCACCATTGCCTCTGCAACATACATCAGGCAGTGATGGCATTATCCTATTTAGCAAGGTAATGCTAATTGCTGTTTCTATAGGCGCTTACTTCCAGCCACGGTATGCCAGGATGCTCCATTAACAGTGCCATCTTCCTTTTGGAAATCCTCTGTGTGACACGCTCTCCTCCTCGCATCTGTCATCAGCCGATGTGTGGAGGCATAGGAATATGCAAGCCAACGAAAGACATGGTCATCTGGGGTAGGTGTGTAATCCTGGGTTTTCCACATGGATCTCACCATGTCATAGGGGTATGCCACCACAAGCTCCCCTCCCTGCAAATTGCCACCCAGCACAAAAGGAATTTTTTCCATCCATGCTATTATTGCCCTTGTCTCCACTGCCACCTGGGAGGAAAAGAAACAGCAGCTTTGATTCAAGCTCTGATATTGGATAATCTCCTATCAAAGGTAGACCAGATGCAGGAGACCTGCTGTAAGTTCCTTAGCTTAGAGTGAGCAGTCAGTACAAGAGATGTGTCCAAGGAGAAAGGCTTCCTAAAATTATGGTGGATGCCAGCCTTGCCCTGGAAATCTCTGATATAAAAGCTATCAAAGCCTTAATATTGGTAATTTATGCAGCAGGAACACTTATGTAGAGTAAGGTCAAGAGCAGCAACCAACAGTGATCAGATCCTGGCACTTCTCCACCCTGCTCTCAGCTGAAATCAGTTTTCAAAGTAAGGGTTTTTTAAACCAGAAATATTTCTAAAGCCCACAGAACCGCAATAGCTCCCCTCAAGCTTGGGGAATTTCAGCCACTATAAATAGTTGCCATTATGTTTAAAAGGCCATGCAAAAATAAGTTAAGTTTTTAGCATTACAATTCAATAAATGACTTTAGCCTAAGCCACTGCATTGGTTTTGTGTATGCCTCAGCAGTTACTCTGTTATTTCAGACAAGAATACATTTCAAATAAGAACAAATAAGAAACCCCCAAGAGACTTCTTTATGGCTACTGAGTTTGCAAAGAGCTCAACTGTGCTGCAAAACTAAGGAGAAGCCTGGTTCACAGCCTTGAGTCGTCCAGGTTCTCACAACACCAGGGGGGAAAGAAAATCCTCCAGGAAGCAGTTTCCTTCCCATTCTAACTGCCTGTAAAATATGGAGGTGAATAATACTTTCATGGTGCACTTTTGTTTCCATTGACTAATGAGGAAGCCTAGGCAAGTAGTTTAGATCATGTATGTAGCTTCACCTGCAAGTTATTGATTTACTGAGAAACATAAAGCTCAGTCTTTCAACATGCCCCAAACTTTGTGCTCCCTCTCTCTGGCCTTACTCACGGTGGCATTTTCAGACAGGTACCAGTCAGGGATAGGGATGTGATGGTTTGGAACTTTTCTTTTACTCTTCTTCTGATCCTCTGACTCCCAGAGCAAAGAGTTTAAATCAGGGAAATTATTGTTGATATCAATGCCGTCCTGAGTCCATCGTCCTAAAGACCAGCCCCCTAATTCTGAACCCTTAGATAAAAGAAAGGAACAAGGGGAAAACAATGTAAAAATTCATTTAAGAATACAAAAACATGTGAGCGCTCAGCAAAGTGTTTGGGGATGTTTCAGAGAAAATCCTATACAGAGAAATGGAAGGATTAATTAATTAACTGAAATGAGTAATTGACTTATTTTGATTTTGTATGAAACTTTGTATAAAGTGAAACAAAACCCATGACAAATTACTTGGGGTTAGCCTAAATGTTGTGGTTTTTATTTCAGACTGATTTTCCACTGGGTGGCAATGGAGATAGCATATATTCCCTTCCATGGTTGTGAGTGGGACTTCTGTATTCCAGTCTTCTACAGACTGCCTTGGGAGATTTTCCAGTGCATTCGACCAGCCCCTGCAACTTTTCCTCCTGGTGCCTGTCTTCTTCCAGACTGAATTATTATGATGCCCAACACATTGTGCTCTCCTTAAAAACACACTATTAAGTTTCAGCTGTGGAGGAATGCAAATTTTCATGTGCTTAGCTTGGTTTCTCATGAGAAACAGACTGCATGAATTTTCCATTTTCCATAACAGTGTTCCCATTGATCTATACACCTCAGTATGGTTTGTCCTGGCATTCATTGTGATCATCCTTTCCATATACACCTTGTTACCCAATGTCACACAGCTTTCTTTTTCCTGTTTCAGTGGTTTATGTTTGATGTGTTTAATCACTTCTTAATTTTGTTTGCTTCTAAAATATGATCTTTGAAAAAGAAAACAATGACAACAGGAGCACATTTCATTCATCAAATAATCATATTACCGCTTTATATGCCTTGTCATATCCATCTGGATTGACTGAGGGCAGGAGGTGGATTCTGGTATCCTCAATTAGATGTACAATGCGTGGGTTCCCAGCCAGGTACTCCTGGCACATAAACTGCATTAGCAAAAGGATTAGCTCACGTCCAAGCACTTCATTCCCATGAGCTCCTGCAATGTACCGGAATTCTGGTTCACCTGTTGAAAACACATGGAGAAGTGTAGACAAAGCAGGAAATCAAGCATCTAACCGGACTTCATTGATGACAATCAGCAACATTTCACTGATAGAGAACTGGAGAAATGTATTAACTGAAGAAATGATAGATGACCATATAACTTTGCAGAAACAAGTGATTATTTGTTGCTGTTTTAGAAGAAGACTTATATATCAGTGATACCTACGGCCAATTTGTAAACCCTTCAAAGACCACTTTCCATTCTTAATTACATTCACAGTTTCTCCATTTTACAGGTAGATTTTAAATGTTTTGATAGCCTAAAAATAGCACGAATATTACACTGCCAGTAGTTCTTTGGGACAGAGATCAAGACTCTTAAAAGATAACAGCCAGTAACCGCACATAATTGATCTCTAACTTCACACATCCCTTTTCCTTCACTAATAATGCGACAATACTTGCACTCAACTACAAAATAATTCAGATGTGATTAGGACTAATACCAGCTGTTAAGAAAAAAACCCTATATTTTAGCTGTCCTTTGTATGAATAACACACCCAAACATCAACAGGAGAGACCCTAACTGCCCAAGCTATGGCTTGTGGCTGGATTCACCCTCCCAGTTTGTCTGGACCCATGAGACACTCCTTGCATGTTTTCTGCAGGACTCTCTAAGCGAAGTGGACAAGGCAAACTAGATTACTTATTCTGGTGTTAACATCTGAGATTCACAGGCTGCAGTCTAACACCAGCTCCTTCCTCGCGTAGGACAAACACATATCCAGGTACTTATGGACATGGCAAAGCACAAGACATCTTTATTCCAGATGCCTCAGGCTCAATTGTAGTGAGATCCTTATTTTTCTTGACAACAGGACAAAAGACCAAATGAGTTCCTATTCTGAAGAATTATATCACTGTAGAAATCGTACCCCAACACTGACCAGTGAAAGATGATTTGGGAGATTTGACTTGTCCTTTTTTGCAATGCATTTACCCCATATAAAAAAGGTAAATTTCTATCCAAAGCTACATAAACCCCCACAACTAAAATCCATTCTCCAGTACTAAAGCTCACTTTTATTTTGTTATTGTAAAGAATAAATCTTATTATCATTAAAGAATTTGATCCCACATTCAAAATGCTTTCTATTTGTGCTCACCCTCCTCTTCCCAATTTAGAAATACAGCGCTGAAGTTCCTCCCACACACATTTGAAATCTTTGCTGCCATGAATATAATCCCATCAGTGATAATTACTGCAGATACAGAGAATGAGGAGAGAAAAAAAAAGCCAAATCCTAACACCCTTCAACAGATTTAGTTAGACTAAATCCTAACCAACTTCGTGTTCTCCTGGGTTGTCAGAAATCTCGACAGCATACAGCTTCAGTCCTTGGTTGCTTTTTCCAATGTTATAAATCCGTGTGATATTTGGGCACATTTTATTCACAGTTTTCATCAACTGCCAATAAAAAAAAAGACATATAGTTAGACAACACCGAATCAAAATAGATTCACTATTAATTGTTTCACTCCATATTGGTTGTGGAAAAAAACTCTTCATTGTCTTTTCTGATTTTTTTCTTAGTTGCAAAAGCCTCATATTTATTTAATGAATTTATGTCTCTGCTACGACACACCATAATGCTTTTTCAGCCAGAGCAAGCTGAATTCTGTCTGCTGAAACACCACAGCACAGGTGATGCTCAAGTTATTTCTTATCAGATGGATTTGTAATATTCTCACAAAATTCAGGATGTGAGAGGGAAGTCCAGTAGGAATAAAACCAGTGAAAACATACTACTTTACCATCAAGAAGTAGTAAATCATACTTCAAAAACATTATGCAGAGGAGGATAATTAGCTGTTTTAGCATTCCTTTCTTTGCTCTCTGTGGGCATACAGTTAAGGGATTTGAGATGCCCCATAGCGTTTAGTGGCATTGCAGTGGTGTTGCATGAGCACTGCAGGTTGCCACAGACACTGCCCAGTGAAGGAGGTTTCTCTCTCCTTCTCCCCTAGCAGCAGTGATTTAATTCAAAACAAACGAAGAGAGAAGGACATCATTTTAAACCTGTATTTCCCAGTAAATTCTTATTACCCCCACCTCCACTGAGGTCAAAACCAAGCCCACCCTTCTTCTATTACAACATGAAATCTCACATGGGAAAATTGTTAACTAAGGCAGCATTGACGTGGGTAAAATAATGAAACAGATAAAATCTGAATGACTCCATAAACAGAAGGATGTACTCCTTCAGTAAATAACAGAGTCCTCAGAATTTGCTTATGATGTTTCAGCAAAAAAAAAAAAATAGAAGTAATAATGGAAATGCCAACAGCCTGTCTGAAGGCATTCATCCCATCAAAATCTATTCTATTCACTTTTTCTGCAGATACTGCATGACATAGTCAAAATAGAATCAAATTGCCTTCGTGCTTACTGAACCCAGGACACTATTGAAGTGCACTTGGGAGGTCATGGTTAAGGGTAGTTCTGTCTAAACCAACGGGGTAATATGGATGTCATCCAGATAAGGATACCTGGAGTCTAAACTGTCACATAACTTTACTGTGGCTTTTCAGGTAAATGTTAAAATTTACAAACAAGACTAGAAATATTTGTGTTAATAGTAATAAGTTATTGTGAATAGCTGTAAATGATGCGAATTTGCCTCCATTTTTATTCATTGGAAGGCATTAATGAAATAAGGACTTTACTGTAAATTGGAACCCTAGGGACTATTAATTAGACAATCTTTTCATAAACAAGGGAGCATACATTAATGAAGAAATAGTGTAGCACAACAAAACTCTTTGCTCACATAGTGCTCATTTAGAAACAATATTGGATGATCACAGGGCCGATGATTTTAAAGAAATGCAATTATTGGATGTGTCTGATTCCCATGCCAACATTTAGCAAATCTAAGCGGAAGCACAATTCACACTGGGAAGATCATTAAAATTCCTCTCATAAAAGGCTTCACTTCTATTTATAATCATGTTGCAAAGAGACTGAAAAGATGCTATTCCTGTATGTTTGTTCATCTCACATGTTGGGTTTATACATGTGAAAAACAATTTCTTTTGAAAATCTAAACTCAGCACTTGTTTAAAAAATACAGTCAGTTCTGCTCCTTCAGTGTATTGTCTAGTGTCATATCTGCTTTTTTTTCATCACTGTCATCATCATCAGTGTGCTGGTATGATGGAACACCCATCTGTTTCTATGGAACTCGTCTTAGCGTTCTGGGCATGCAGAAGTGGGTATTTCATCATTTGTTCCAGCTGAAACACAAAGCTGAAGTCGGAGGCCACTCACATTTTCTAGTGTTTGATATGAGTTATTTACTAACTTTCCAAGACATACTGCCTTAAAACTTTGGGGTCAACCTGCTCTTAATGAACCAAAGATACTATCGATGGATATGGAGCTATGGAGCTCTTTCTAAAGCATCACAGACCAAAACTTAGCCAAGGTCTGCTGCATGGGGATTATTAGCTTATGTCCTTCTGGCAACTAGATGAAAAAGATTATTATTGGATCAAATACTATGTTTTTCTCCAATAGAGATAAATATTATTTTTTCACTCTGCCAATGAGTACAGATACTGCATTAAAAGAAGGTCTATTGTAGGAAGCTAAAAATGGCTTTCTGTAATGTATAAATAATTTTTTTGTCTTAGCCATGTGTTTATTAATTCCTCTCGATACAATCTCTTCAAGCTGCTGGAAACTCGTCCTTGCTGATGTATTGCTGCATCCATGCAGCTCCCCAGGATACGAAATAAGGAAGATGAGCTTGAGCCTGTCATGTCAGAGATGTCTCTGAAATAAAGCTGCAGATAAAAAGCTTTCCTAACATGCCTGTCACTTCAGAGTGCAGAGGACACCAAGAACATCAATTTAGGAAAGCAGTTAAAAGTATGTTAAAAGTTCATTATAAGCAAGAAAAACGCCTAGAACCAAGTTCATATTATATTAGTTACTGGAAATATTTCTATTGGCCTCAGTAAACTCCCCATCACCTCTTTAATTGCAACCATGTGATTACTTCTGAGTCAAACAAAGAATCTTTCCTGAATCAGGGCCTCTGTAGTAGACTTGACTGTGGCTCTTTTGATAACAGTATGGATATAGTAATGTAGTTGAATGTTTATATGTAAATACAGTACTGAAAATGAACATATTTCATCTCTGGTTTTCCTGCAGCCGGCACAATAGGTCACCTGAAATGTCAGTGTTTTCTTTGTGCTTCCTACAAACTGTCAAAGACAATTGATGATAACAGTCACTCGGGGCTTTATTAACAACCAGCAGGACTGTAAAACACTTTCACAATTACGATCACTAACAGTTCTTATTTGACAGTTCTTGTTTGACAGTTCTTATTTGTTTGTCACTACCAATTATTTGCCTTATTTGGACCCTAGAAAAAGACTGCATGCAGCTGTTGAAAAAGCCTGGAACACTGGTTTCTGAAGGCCCAATTCCTTTATTTTGCAGAAGAGGTGTATTAAATGTAGGTCTAAGCGCCATCTACACTTAGAGGATGTAAAAGGATACTCAGTCAATGCCTTTCAGGTTAGGGCTATTCTTTATGCCCTCTGGAGATCATAGCATCATTTAAGTTGGAAAAGACCCCTCAGATCATGTCCAACTGTCAACCTGCCTCTACCAAGATCTCTGTATTTCTCGTTCTGCTGTCAGCCAAAACAAACAGTACCTCCTTCTTGAGCTTGGAGACTATCAGATAGAGATGACTGTCAACCCGGCATTGCATGCAGGCTAGGATGTTCTTTCACACTTAAACCTGTTCAATCATTAACACACACACTGGTCTTTGATGTTGCGTATTATGATTACCTTGAGTCCATAATCACAGGTGACCATGAAAAGTAACACAAGACTTCAGGGGTGCTTGGAGTGGCTTGTCCAAAGGTAAAAGTCACATCTAGTATGTATTTAAAAATTAACAATCCCATTTCCTAAAAAACATATGATCTGGGTTTGTTGTTCAAAGACAAGGTTGTACTCAAATATCCATCTCAAACTATTTCTGGGGTTATCAACCATTTTAACAGCTTTCTGTATACCTCATCCAGTTCCAACCCAGGAAGGTTGATCCAAGCCCCTGTGTCCAACCTGGCCTTGAACACTGCCAGGGATGGGGCAGCCACAGCTTCTCTGGGCACCCTGTGCCAGCGCCTCAGCACCCTCACAGGGAAGAACTTCTGCCTAAGAGCTCATCTCAGTCTCCCCTCAAGGGAGACAAGGTTAAACCATTCCCCCTTGTCCTATCACTACTTGCTCTTATGTGTACTAGATGTACTCTTATTATAAATTCCATCTTCCTAAACAGTGAGTTCTATTAAACTAATCTGGCACTGATGAAATGTCTCCCTCTCATAAAGACGTGACATATTACTATGTAATGCATGCTTCCAAAACACGGCCCAGGGAACATCCTCTCTTTTTCCTTTACTGTTCATGACAAATAACTTCAAAGAACAGGGGTTTTCTATGTTGGTTGGTAGTGAAGTAGCTAATAAAACTGACAGTAATGCACACACACTAATCAAGTTGACTCTAGATATCAACAGTCATTTTTCCATTTTCCTCTCAGGGCAGAAACTATGAAGTTCCAAAAATAGTTTTTGGAATATAAGACTTGTTGCAACCCAACCCACAGTATCCCACCTACCAGCAGCAGAACTGAAGTAGAATCCAATAAGCTGTAAATAAATCCATTATTTTGACAAAGAGAGAGCCAGCAATTGGGAAAGCACAGTCAAAGCCAGTTCACAACTGACAAGCTCTCAGCCATAGTGGCAAATTTTCTACTTTTATGAAAAGTGGAAAAACATTCCACTTTTTCCTGAAGGTATTTCTAACCTGACTGACCTGTCTTTCTGCAACAGGAATGTAAAATACACTTTATTTTATTGTTCTTGACAGTAATTATGCCAATTGAGTGTCTATTTGTTTAGTCTTTGTGCTAAGAAATATAAGCCACGAAATCTCTACCGAAATAATTGTGTGACTCAGTACACAATTGCTCAATAAAAATGAATGGTGATTCATGCAGTATAAATACACTGAAAATTCAGCACACAGCAAATGATTCACACACTTCAAGTCCAAACATGTTAACTTTACATTCGAAGACAAAGTGGGCAGAAATATTTCTTTAGGACAACCCACACTTATGCCTGTGGTGATATGAAGCACAATTTTTTTCCTAGTGGTTTTTTTTTTGTGCGTGTTTGCATAATTTTTCACGACTGTGAAAACAGAATTGGACACTGTATGGTTCATTCTGATTTTCTAAACCCACTGAAATGCAGAAGAATTCTGATGACTAAGACTAAGAAAGGAGTAACCACTAACATTCACCACTCCAATACAGATGGAAGAAAAATGATGGCACATGATATGTAAATACTTCCCCTGCCATGTAGTCATGGTTTAGGTTAAATGATGTACAAATTAAGACTTTGGGATTTTAATAAATTACTTCTTTTAACAGACTAAATTAAGGGAAAAGATTTTTTAGTCTGATTTCAAACACTATTTAATAATATATTTAACAGTGTAGAATTCAGATTCCACAAGTCAAAAACCTGCACCCATCCACACTCCATCTAAGAGATCACACTCCAGCTTCTTTGCCTACCTGCCTCATTTCCTTGTAGTTGTGATGCTTGAAGTCCAGGTTATCTGTGGTTGTCATTTCGTTTCTCCTGTGGTAATAATTATTTGGGTCTGAGGAAAGAAATAAACAGATTTTCATGCGCTTATGAATGCCAGATTTAAAGATGCTTAGCCATCATAGCGCATTCAAAGAATGTGGAAATCTGAATTCCAAGTGCCTATATGTATTTAAAACATCTTTCAAAGGCAAAACTCAAAAACCCAACAAATTTGAAATATTTCTAATTACTGCACAAGTCATGTCACATAGATTCAAACAGAAGGAAGGAGACAGCAGGAATCAGCTTGCTAGAGAACTAGTCTGCACAAAAATCTTAATGTCAACAGAAAAGCAGAAGGGCATCCTTCAGCTATAGAGGAGAGCAAAAGACACTGCAAAATGAGTTAGACACAAGATAAGGGGTGGGGGGTGGAAATCACAACTCAAGAAAAAGCCCCAGTAAATGTTTTTTGTCTACTTGATTTATTTGCTATTAGAAGGAATTATCTTTTAGCTTTCTGGATGAGTATTTTCAGAGTCTATGCTCTGCTTGCAAAATACTGAAAGGCTCTACTGTGGATATTAATCATTCCTGATTATTTTCCTAAACATTTCTTTGCAGTTGTTGGATCTCTTTGTTACTTTAAAATTAGCATATTCATTAATTTGTGGATACAAGTTATAATTTCTGCGCTTGAAGTATCAAAGGAGAACATGTGGATAGAACAAAAACATTTGTTTCCTTGCTTTTCCAAGCCTTTCACCTGGAAAACAAAACAAACCAGGCCAAGACTGCTCAAGGCTCATTTTTGTATATGTGCTCCTTAGTCTAATCTACTGTGATTTGGTTTTAGAAAAAAACAAGTCTATTTGGAAAACGTTGGACACATTCCTTAATTTGCTGTATCTGGGATGTCTGGAATTTTGAGTCTGTGAAACCAGTGGCTGTCAGGAAAAATTTTCTCTTTGCAGAAAACAATCTTTATTTAAGATTGTTGGAAAAAAAGCCAAATATGAAAGCCTACATATGATCCTGCCTTATTGCGACACAAGCAAAGGACATTATCGCTAGAGAAGAAAAATGTTTTGGCTGGCTATTTTCTAAACAGCATCACCCATCAGTTGTGATTGGTTTTGGGGACAATAAGCGTAATGTTTAGTAGGAAGAGTACACAGATATTATCCTCTAACAACACAATGAATTTACGGAAAACTTAAAAATACCTTATAACAACATTTTGAAGCTTCATATTTGACATTAAACCTCTAAATGCTCAAATTTCTTCTTTGCATGGAATTATAAAAGTGTTTGGGTTTTGTCGGTTTTTTTTCTGTTTTTTTTTTTTCTTATGTGGAAAAAAAAAAATTTGAACTATTTAAGTTATTTATGAAATGAAACATGAAAGTTCCATTAAGCTTCACTGTAACATCACTCATGTTCTCTACCACTTATTTACTCTTCATTCACATGCTTGTCTCCAGTTCATCCTCTAAACTACAGCAAAAATGATGGAAGGTTGAACTTTACTCCAAAATATGACTGAAAAATGTCAAAACCCCACCTTGCCTCAACAAAATCTGCTTGTTCAATGCAGACTCTCCTTCCCAGTGAAAACTTATTCTGTAACAAGACCACCAGGAAATGGATTTAAATTAGAGCCTAATCAGGTGAGGAAATAAGATTTCTTTGCTTATTAAAAGAAAAAGAAAGTTTCAAAGAATCCAGAGGGTTAAGTTTCACACAATTCAACTGCATTTTCAGGTGTTCTTTCAAATCTAATTGCAGGCTAAATTGATGCAAGCCCACTGACAGCCATAATGCTGCACTAACACTGCAGATGATTCTGGAATGCCAAATGCTTAAAGGGTCAACCCATATTAATTCATAGAGATTATTCATTAATATATTGATGATTGAGAAATGTAAATCACAAAACCCCTCCCCTTCTGGAGGCGATGTGTTTAATGCCACACAGAATATCTTCACCACTGTAAAAATCTCTCTTGTAACAATATAAAAATAAACATCATAAAACTGCCAGGATATTGAAGGCTTTTCCTTATCACCATGAGCCAAAATACACAGCAGCCGATATTTTTTTCCTAATACTTTAATCCCATTCCTTTCAAAGTCTGGCACTTTTTCCATACATCAAACATTAATATCATGGGAATGACTGTGAACTCTGTAGGGTTGGTGGAAAATAAGTATAAAAATCATACAGTGAGAATGATTGTAACTTTGGTCCTTCCTCAAAAAGAGTGCACAATTTGACAGCTCCCTAGAGAATTAACACTCTTATTTCTGCCAGGCTCTACTGTCAGTCTGCTTGGAGCACTGTATTCCTGCTGCAGCAGAAAAATTAAAAGCTAAAATGTAGAGTCTTGTGCACAGATGGTTAGGTCCACTTTGGCAAAAATTATTTTCTTTAATAAGACAGAGAATAAGAGATTAAGAAACTCAAACCATGGAAGAATTAGAAGGGAAATGCATTCATTTATTCACAGGACTCAGTCTCTTTTACTTCTCAGGAGAAGGGATCCTGCAAAACTGTGGCACTCCCATTTATACAGGGGAATACTGTTTTTTTCTATCATTAATGTGCCTTTACTAGACACTAGAGATAACTAAGTTTGTAGGTAAATGTACCTTCATATTTCTATTCTTTGTAAGTATGGAGAAGTGCCTAGGAAGCTCTAAAATGCCCAACCACTCTCCAGTATGAGAGCTCCAGGAACTACCCATGAAAGTACCAGAGGACTGACTGCTCATCAGTTGGATGTATAGAATGGACTTTCTGTTATATTGCAGCTCTACACAGCACCTCAAGAGGAGGAGCCCCGACGCTTCCAGTGGGTTTCCAGTTATTATTCAAAAAACAACGATGGGTGCTGGTTGTTTCTTACCTCCTTTAGTTTTCAGTATGCTCTGAGCTGGCACAAGAAAGTTATGACATGGGCTTTGCAATGACTTGAAGATGAAATTAACACTCACAAAAAATATTGTCAAAATTCTCTCATTTACTAAGTAAAACCTGCACCCATTCCCCATATGATTTGTTCATGTGCTTCTTTCTTACAGAAGTCCTACACTAAGTTGTATGCTGTCATATCAATGAAGCTTGCAAGCTCACAAGTGGCACTCATATGGTGCTCAAAGTGGACAAGATACTGAAGTCAATCCAAGTGATTTAGATAAAACTCTAGTCTAAATCCTTTAGACTGCCCTAATAATCTCACCGTGCCATTTTGCAAATGACTGATGTTTTCATTTCCATTTAATACAAGTAAATTTGACTTGTCTTCACAAAACTGAACATGCCACAGAGAGCACACGTGAAAAAAATCCTGAAAAAAAATCTGCTGTCAGACAACTCAGATGATTTTTAGTTTTTTTCCACATGATCTATTTCATGGCAGTCATGAGCATTAACATCACACACTAAATCAGCAGTGAAATTATATTCTTCAACCATACATGGAATCTTTTCTATATATGTTCATGTATAGTCAAATACCAAACAAATAATTCCAGTTAAGCATGAGGAATGATGATAATGGGCAAGAGGAAACCCAAACTCTTAGCCTGCAGTATGCTTCTTAAATTTTTCTGCCAATATCTGATTTTTCTAATTATATCCCACAGTTTGATTCTTATAATAACTAGAATTCTTTTGGAATTAGGTGATACAGTCCATTCCAGCCCAAACCATCCTGATTCCCCAAAACTCCATTTTACAAATAAAATATGAAAGAAAATCTTTTAATGAGAACCACTGCATTGCTGGGGGTAGCTACACATTCGTCTTGATAAGTATGGAGAACCAGAATACATTTGCCTTTCCCAGGAGAATGATTGAATATGGCCTCATTTTTACCCAGCAAACTCTTCAGAAAATATTACATTGCCCAATATTAAGTTTTAGCTTTGCAATGACAAAGCAGAACATAAGTGCAGACTGTCACTCTAAGCACAAATTACTCTCGCAAGCAGTTAGCTGAATTTATGCAATATCACTTATAATGAAAGATACTTGCAGAAAGTCACCATTTTATACAAGGTGAGCACTAGAAAACCAGATAGCCTGGCAATAAGAGACAAGCAAGGAAAATAAAACCAAATGGTGCATCCTCGGCAAAACACCTCACTCCATTACAGAGTAGAGTTCATTTTTTATCATGGGTTGAAAGTGATGGCATAATCATGATACCAATGATAGCTTTCTATATAAGAATTATTAAAAATTAAATCTAATAAAAAATTTATTCCATTAAAATAATTGCCCATTGCCTTGAATACTCTACAGTATAAATAAATGCATGAAGAGCTCAGCTAATTTTCTCTCTCGTATCTCTGGGTACTTTTGATCATATGCAGTTTCTTTTTGATTTTCCTTAGGTTCAAGAAAGAAGAGGCATGGAAAGTACATCCAGCCCTCTGAGGCAACTGCAAAAGATTGTGCGTATCAGTCTATGCCTATGTAAATACCGAGATTCTGGGAAAATGGAGAGGGAATTAAATGCTGGCGCTTTTGTCTTCTTTTTCCCCAGTGAGGAATGGCACCTCTGATCCTCTGCTATAGGTAGGCTTTTATGGCATCTTCCCTTTTTTTTCCTTTTCTGGCATCAGCTAAATGTTTTTCCCTTGGTGAAACAGCAAATCACTTCTTCCATCTGAAAGACGGTGCTGACACAGTTGGATAACACAGCTTTTTTTGTAGAGCGCCTGTAATAGGCTAGAAAAAGGTTGTTTGTCAAGACTAGACTACAATAGACCAAAAATGTATAAGTAGTATATTTCACTGATTGAAATTACCATCATTTTATGTAATACAGATTATTTAATCAGTAACTCCTCTGCTCCAGTTATCTAAATAGTAATTTCTCATGATTTTTCCAACTCTTGGTACACCATGCATAGGCAGGAGGTATATTCACAAACCACAGGAATGGGTCCTAACCATTGCCATCTCTTCTGTCGATGCAAACAAGCTTTCCTAGAATATTAATACCTTACTGAGGTTTATCCTTTATCTGGTATTCCTTTCTTACCCTCCCTTGTGAGCCTACGTGATGGAAAGCTGATCTAGAGCACAGCCTGAATGCAAATTGCTGCATTTACTCAGGGATTAATAAAGATAGAAACCCTAACATTATAAGTTTAAAACACAAGAAATTCACAGTTGTGAAAAATTACTTTCCTTCCTTCCACCCTCTTTTTTCTTGGGGTATTTCCCTATGCCCTATATCTGCCTGTCACTGTTGTTTCCTCAGGACACTGTGCGTGGGAGTCCTAAACCACATCCAAACTGCTGCTCTCGACAACGTGATTTCTTGTATGTTCACACACAGAGTGCAAATATAATCAAACCCACAGCAGGTATTCAAGGAAACTGAGCATCGCATAACTTCTTTCATAGGTCTTTGGGCTTTGGAAAGGACAGAGGTGTTTGAATTGACAGAGCTCCACCTCCTGACTTTGAACTTAGGAGACTTGCTCAGTTTTATAGTGGAAAACTCCGTCAGAAAAGAAGACTTCGTTTCTAGTCACACTGCAATAGAGCGTATCAGAGCAGCACTATCACACCAGTGAGTTATCTAACTTGGAACAAGTAAGACACTAATAAAGGGTGAGGAATCCAGTTACAGGGAACTACATATGTCCTACAGGAAGAAAACAGGCCTCTGCAACCCGAGGAACAGGTTTGCTCTAGGAGCTTTGTGTGTAATGGATAAAATGAGCTAGAAGAAAGAAACATCAGTTCTTTCTGAGCTAAAAGGATGGGTAGGCAGCTTATCAAAACCTATTAGTTCTTTCAGTCCAATTACATTTTGAATAAACACACCCCATTCCCAATGCATTTCTCAATGAATGATTCTGGTATTTTCTTTCAGGGATAAATGGAATCAGCAACCGCAGGGAATTAACTCAATAAATGAATACCAGGAAGAAGCACTGATTACATTTCTATGCTAATCCAAGACCTGCAACAAGCTGGAATAGCACTCATTGCAGTGGTGATGGAAGTGCAGCTATGGTCTTACCTTGGTAGCAGTTTCACCCACTGATACAGCCCTCTGAAGCTGAAGGGTGACAAATGCTAACACTGCAAAGCAGAATTTGGCCTTTTATGGGTGTATGTGCAAATGAGAATCAAGTGTAAATAACAGTTGCGTTTAATAAAAATCACTTTTTCAAATATCAACATTTTTTTCTCTTTCCTTTTTAAGTACCTATGTTCTTCCTTGAGCCTCATGCCCTGTGTCATAGGGTGGATCCTCTGCAAACCAGCACAGGAATTTGGGATAGATCACTACTTTCCGACAGCCCACTGGTCCTTTCAAGACAGAAGGGGAAATACTAGCTCTGGAATTGCCCCTTCAGGGTAAAAGCTATAATGGAGGACAAGAAACCCACAAAGTTGAAGTTTTCTAAATCCATGGTTGGAAGAAATCAGAATCCTATTGAAAACATGAATATTCACATACACAGGACACCCTGGTCACTGCCATTCAACTCCAGGATGCATTTGTTACCTACAGAAAAGCAGTTGTCTGAGTGCTGCTAAATTTTACTGCTTCATAGTAATACACCTACCTACTAAGTTTCATGATAATACTTGCCCCATACTTCTCTTTGATAAAGAATTATCCCTTCTGTGCCCCAGACTGGTTTTGTTTCCTGCGTATCTAAACACCTAAAAGACGAAAATCAGGCTACCTCTGCTTGGCATGTGAAGACCCTACATGGACAGTGGAATTGGAGGTAGCAAATCTCTAAGAAGCAGCAGGAACAGATAAAGCAGTAATGGTAGGCTCTGGAAAGGCAATAAAGAAGCCAAACAAAGAACTGTCCCCAAGGTGCAGGAATTTAAGATCAAAGAGCAAAATAAAACAAAGAAAATGAGAGATGTGGAATGAATAGTGGACAATTGAGAAAAGATTTGAAAGCTTATTCCAGTCTTTACCAAGGACTGGACCATTTACCTTCACCTGAGACTTACCAAGGATCATGCTGGATTTGATAGCACTTGAAATTTGCTAGAAATTCTTTACATCCCCAGTTCCCCTCCTTCCCCTCTAACAAGATAAGCACTAGTTCAGTTCCATTATTTGCCTTCAAATTAATTTAGGTAAGTCCTATGGCTTGTATGAAATCATAATAATAAATAATCATCATACTACATAATATAATGCTTTTCCTTGCCTGAGAAACACAAGACATCTGCAAGTGGCTGTCCTGATACATAATCCTATTGCCTCCCCAGTACATGCACACTCTGTAAGATTAATTGTGCTGCACTTCAGCCCAAACAACACAGAAAATCTTGTTAGATCATCCACGCAATGCTGTTTTATTAATAAAACCATTTGTAGATACTATGTGATTGCATTTGAAGATTTATCTTGATACTGATCATGTATCTGGACAGATTTTTTTTTTTTTCTGCATAACTGTACTTACAGGTATTGCATCAAAAGCAAAAATATCCAAAGGAAGTAAAATTTCTGAGTCTTGGTATAGGCAGCCACATCAACATCACTTGAGACTCTTACCTGGCAAAGGACACCCTAAGATTTCCAGTCTCATACAGATGCTACCTTCTTGGAACCAGGACCGTGGGTTTATACGGATATAACGAGCAACCAGTGGCTCCGGCAACATATTGAGAACTGGGATTTCTTTTTCACTGTTTCCTTCAAATACCTATGCAGGCCAAACATACAAAAAATGGAAGATCAGCTCTTCAAAAAGTCTTTTATCGCTTGGGGTAATAGCAACAAAGTCACCTGGTACAGCCCTATGATGACAATGGATAAGGCCAGAGCTGCTCTCCAGAGAACACAATTCCCCCCATGCCCCTCAGAGAGGGGATCCTATACTCTCTCTGGCAGTAGGCGCCTCATGGGCATGAGATGTCCTCAGGGACCGTCAGACTGATGCTAATCCTTGCATGGGCCATGCAACAAGAAACACATCATAGGCCAGACCATTGCCAGGGCGGCATTTGCATCCATAGGCAGACACATGCAGGTTTGCTATATAGGATATTCTGGATCCCTCTCCCTATGATGTGATTTTCTCTTAAAATTAGGGGGAAGACTGAGAGAAATTGCTTTGTAGTCTTTAACTGACCAATCTGGCAAGTCAAAACTCCATGTGGACAGCCCCGCTTTCCCACCTCTGCTCTTCATAAAACTTGTTTTGTGATACTCACCACATCTCCAGATTCGTTTCTGACAGCAGTCCATGCATGACTGTCATTGCTCACCAATACTCTGTAAGAGGTCACCCAGTTACTCCTTGAAAAAGACAAAGAGTAACTAAGTTATTTTTTTCATAACTTAGAATGACTGCAAGCTGTGTTTAGTGTAATAAAGCTTGTAAGACTGCTGGCAATGGAAATCCCATGTGGCACAGTCATGTCAACACTTGGCTGAAAAAGTGACATGCAAATCTAGATTCAACAGCTCATTAGAGCAGCCTAGCACATAGCAAATAAACAGTGAGATAATATCCTGAGGTTCCAGGAGGTGAGGGATTACTGCTCTCCTTTCTTTTTAGATGCAGAATTGGGGATAAATAGCTTATCGAGAGCAGATGCACCCAGTGTTTAGAAATCTTACCTTTTCAGCTACAGAACATTTATTATTTCTGCTGCTGTTATTGGAGAGGATAGAAAAATGTAATAAATCCTCTAGGAAGAAAAGCCTGTGAATTTCAACCAGGAAAATTTCCATTTCTTCCAATACAAGAATGACTAGAGCCTGCAGTCATTCCTGTATTTATTAGCAATAGGTAGAAACAGTAGAAACAGAGAGACAATTCTGCCTTTGCACAGCAGAGTCCAATTGATCACAGCACTAATGCACTGCTACAATACTCACATCCATCTTCAGTAGGCTGATCTTTCTAGCAGCCTGGTAACCAATTTACAGCAAAATACCCTTTAACTTAAAAAAGCAAAATCTTCATTTGTACCTAAATTGTGCCTCACCTTTTTTTTTTTTTACCTAAAGAAGAGTAGAATAAATAGAATGCTGCTTCTTATATTCTGAGTAGATTTAAAGCTCTGTGGCTTTTATACTGCCTGGATATTCCCTCCGGTAAGGTGTATACAGCGATGGAGAACGTAATGCCCCTCATATTTGTTGGCCTGAAAAGGCAACAGTAACACATTCTTTTTTCCCCTAACACCTTCCTGGTTTTAACAGGCAGCGACTTGGAGGAGAACTGTGGCTTGGAGGTGTGTTTGTACTATAAAGTCAGTCCAGGATGATTAAATTCTATATTATTATATATAAACTGATTGTGCGTAACCAGCAGTCCTCTAGAGCAGTCCTTCTTTAACACAGGCTCTCAGATAAGCTACAAAGTCAGATTGCTGGGAATGGAACCAGGATAAGGAAAGCTCTTAGGACTAGAAAGAAGAATAGGGGCAATTTGGGCAGTAATGAGAGAAGCATCAGAGCATATGAATCGGAGATCAAGGAGTACCTGGAAGAACAGACACCTGTAGGAACAACTTTCCGTTGTAGCACACCCATGCAAACACAACATTCTTTGCTTTTTGATCTTTTAAAAATCAACAAATACCCATAAACTACCTATGAACATACAACATTGACTCCACTGTGTTTACATTTAAAGGGACAAATTAGCCTTTATGTGTTCACTGAGAGATTCAGGCTTTTGGTGAAGACCAAGAAAAGGACAGGGGCAGAACAAGAGCAAAATCATCAGCCACAAGACCAGCACATGTTCACTCAGCTTCATCTTGTACAAAATAGTGACCTTAAGATGATGCCAAAGTAAAAGCATGGCAGCAAAATATCTATAATTTTACTCAGAAAATAAAACAGCAGAATGAAATCTAAAGTGGTGCCACTTACATAAAAGATTCAAAGTGATGTCCAGACTTGCAATGGCACCTAAATCCAAAGATTAGGTGTTTAGTAAGATTTAGAAAAGCACTTCTGCATGTAAGTATACTAATACTCCCCAAAGTCAAAGAGGAGATATCATGGGATCTTCAAAAAATGACTGAACAAACCCAGCTCTGTTTCACACACTAAACCAGCCCTGTGCAAATCTTCCACCAGCCTTCTTTAAGGAATAGATTTTGCCATTCATGTTAGTTTGAATGGAAAAAGCTTGACTATTGTCAAGCAGACTGAACTCATTATCATATGAACAGATGAATATACCTATGACTTGTGATGGACACACTACTTCAATGGTCATTAAACAACTGTAACAAGTTAGCAGCACTCTGAAAATACTAATTGTCTGCCTGTCAGTGGAAGATCTCCTGGGGTAAGGGATTTATAGGGGATCTGTTACATGCTGGAGAGACAGTGACATCAGTGTGTTACATAGGTTTCTACTAATTCTTGTAAAGAATTCAACTTTTTTCTTTCAGCTTCGTTGTGTAAGTTAAAGGAAGGCAGATGTACTTCTAGCAGACATGAAAATTAGGAATTTTGGAGGCCTACATCAAAACTCCAGGAAGAAGAAAAATAGCTTTTTCTGATTGGAAACCAACCAACAGTAGAAAAAGCACCCAGAAATTGAACTCAACTACCCAAATTCAAGACCAAAACTCGCAGGTTTAGATGGTGGTGGTAGTGTACACATACAGTACATATTAAATGGTGAGGGTTTTTTTGGTTTAGTTGTTTTGGTGGTTGGGTTTTGGATTTTTTTTTATTATTATTAATATTCTTGGCCTTCTTTCAAAATTAGGCTAAATGGCAATGTCACAAATCAATCAGCATCATTGCTTCTGAAATATTCCAGAACCTTTATCACTTCAGTTGCACAAATAAGATAAGAGCAAGCAATACATTCATTACACCTAGAAAATAAAACCTAAGAGAATACCACAGTCACAAAACCAAGACAATGGTGGACTTTCTTCATAATCGACAATTTTGTAAGAAAATCAGGGCTTTTGATTAAAGAAAAATGGGAATCAAAGTTTTTAACAGAACCAGCTCATTTTAGTGGCATGAGAAACCATTGCTGCTGCACTACCATTTTCATGATAGGGCTTTTATTTCCAGCATTTTAATTTTCTCATTCCCCACAAAGGTGCAAACTTCTCCCAAAAGAGAACGCATACTTGTCAGTTGTACACATTTACCATCTTGAGTGGCAACGTGCTTTTCAGAGGATGTCTGCCAATTAAGATACAAAATGGATTACATCCATTCTTTTACATTTGCAGTATAGGAGGACTACAGAGGGCCATGGAACAAGATAAATTAGCGTAATGTATTAGATCACACACCACATCCTGTTAACTGCGCTTGCCTATAAGGATTAAACATCCACTTTGTATTTACTGAGATGCAGAATAAAACCCTCATGGGTGACTAGATCCTTCTCCCACTGGCACCAAATCCAAAACTGCCTCTAGGGACCTAAATTCTTCCCCCTTTTTTCCCAAACATCATAAGAAAAATGTTTTTTTTTTGTCAATATTAAGGAGGCTACTGTAAATTCAGATTTGCCTCAGAAAGGGCATCTTCTGCTTAAAAATCATGTTCCCCATGGTGGGGAAGGGGAATTCTGCATGCATTCATGCATTCAGAGTATCTGGAAAACTGGCAGAAGCTTCTGACCAGGGAGCCGAGTGTTTTTAAGTCCCACATATTTCTACAGGTACAGACAGGAAGAATAGCATTCAATGTACTAAAATCTCAAAAGCTGCAGATTTTCTACACATGCGCAGCACAGGAGGTCTTCTAGGAAGCAGATGGATATGTTGCACATGCTCAAATCAACAACCAGTCTGTTTACATTAAGTACAGCTCTTCCTAGAATTGAAGAGCTTAATATCTACACAGTGCTCTGTTCATTCATGTAGACACAGAAATCTAAAGGTTTTTGGGGAGATCCATCACAGAAACATGATAGCTAAGTGTCCTGGGTTCAGCAGTAGCAGTCATTTTTTCCTCCTTCTTAGTAGCTGGTGCAGTGCTGTGGTTTTGACTTTTGGCCTGGGAACAGCACTGATAACACCGATGTTTTTAGTTACTGCTCACATGTTTAGTCTGACCAAGGACTTTTTGAGCCTCATGCTCTGCCAGGGAAGAGGGGAAACCAGGAGGAAGCAGAGACAGGACACCTGACCCAAATTGACCAAAGAAGTATTGCATACCACAGCACACCATGCCCAGGATGTAACTGGGAGTTACCCAGAAGGGCTAGTTCACTGCGGGGTGGGACTAGGTATTGGTTGGTGCTTGGTCAGGCTGGATATTATCAGTGGGCAGGTGGTATTGTATTCTCTTCCCTTGTTATTTCCTTTATCGTTATTATTATTGGTGGTAGCAGCAGTGGTTTGTGTTATACCTTAGATAATAAACTGTTCTTATCTCAGCCCGTGGAAGTTGCATTCTTTCAGTTCTCCTCCCCATCCCTCTGGGTGCGGGGAGAAGAAAAGGGAGTGGAGTGAGAAAGAAACTGCGTGGCTGATTTATGGCTGACTGGGTTTAAACCACGACACTGAGATAAGGTCTTTTGATAGCATTAGTATTGGGGCATGCCATCTGTATTGTTATCTGACAACAGGGAGATCTATCATTAATTTCTATACATTAATTTCTTCAGCACACCACATGGAAACTTTTTGGGACCCATCAGCACTGAACAATGAAGCTATCTAAGGAAAACTGAAAGAAAGCTGCAATGCTTTCCAGTACTTTGGATGTCCCTACAATTACCATTGAGAAGCTCTTCTAAATTCACTCCATGAAATCTTCTTGGACCCACCATTGTATGCCTCAGAAATACATATACTTATTGGTTTCATAGAGTCAGGGAGACACCATTCAGGGAAGTCCTATGCCAACATTCAGAGAAGAGTGTGTTAGTTATTAAGCCCTTTCTTGGCAGGAAGCTAGGCAATACAGAAGTTATTGCATGACAGTACCTTCTGAAGTGTTTCAGGTTACCTCTAGTTCATCATGCTCTAACAAAGCGCTACTTACATGACTACCTCATTTAATTCACCAATGTTAGAAAAGGATCATGAGATACAGATTTGGCAGGAACCATTTGGGTTCAGGTGCTTCCCATTAATAATCCTTCTTAAAATTTATGCCAGCCTTATCTCCTCAGGAGAAACCCACCAGGAAAATCTCAGTATCTATTGCCAACATTAATCAAGTCATTTCACAGAAATTAGACGCAAAAAAATCAAAACTGGATTCAAAATCACTGCAGCGAATTTAACTATTATTAATTAGTTGGGGTTTATCTGTAACGCATTAGCTTTAGACAAGGCTTATTTGAA